CTGTTTTTGGGGGGGGGGGGGTTGTTTTTAAGTGTAAACATCTGGGAGATGCTGCATAAAGGGGGTGGCCTAATGGCCCAAACAAAAGGTTTTAAATACGTAGGTTTAATTCAATTTGGGATTTGAATCTCAGCAGGGTCATCTTAGTCCTCACTCTGTTACTATTGCTATTACAGCCAATACAGCCTGCAGTTTCAAATACAGAGTAAAAGACATTCCTTTATCTCACATTCTAAATAAGCATGCAGTAAGGTGCATGTCAGCAGCTCTTTTGTAAAAATCAAGAGTGTACCTGATTAGCATCATATTAAAGCATACTTGATTAAACTGAGTAGCTCTAGGGGCTTTTCCTGGTAGCCTTTCCTAAAATTTACTTCTCCACTGCACGTATTTATTATACTTTATACACTAGCTGGCTACTGTACTCCAACCCCAAGGCACCTGAGTTTCAGTAACGCTGTATGTGTAGAGTGCTTAGCTGATCAAAGAACGTTATGTAAACATTAAATTCTATTTAAACAAGCTGTTGAGCAAGTCTCTCTAGCTTCAATATGCAAATTGGGGAATTCAGAATTTCCCTTATGCGTGTTTCCCAGACCTTTAGTAACATTAGGTCAAAGCAAACATTACCACTGGTGAGTAGACCACTTCATAAGATATGTAGCCCTTTTTATTATAGTGAAGACACCTGTATTTGTGTTGAAAGAACGATCTAGGAAAATTCCTAGGCTTATGCCTAGAAAGAGAAAGGCTGATCTGTTCAAATTTGATTTTTCTAACAAAAATCAAAATAGGAATTAAAAGCCAACCCCTACCCAAATTGTTTTAGGTAAATACCAATTTTACTCAAACATAAGATAACCCTGAATATACGACAACCCCCTCAATAACTGGATTCTATATATGGACAATTGATATATTTGTTATTATTCTCTAGGTACAGAATCTAATTTTTGGAGGTCTGCCTTGAATTTGTCCCGCTCTCACTACAGCAAGGAAAATAAATCTGGGGGGATGGGTCAGGTAGCCTCCTTCCTCTTTGCCCTCTTCTGTCTCCAACCGTCTTTCCCCCACTCCTTACCGTCAAAACCTGCTCTCCCTAAACACATGGAAATGAGGGGCAAATTCAAAGACATTGAAATAAATATAATTTACCATATAGGCAAATTACTACAGGTACCCATGACTTAGTTTAACCAGAATTGATGCGTTTGACCTATTTACCTACTTACAAACTATGCATGATATCAGTCCAAAGCCAAAAGGCTCACGATGCACCAGAGAGTTCACTGGGCTAGGCTTCACCAAAGTAGACAACATCTCAAGCCACGGTGCAGTAGGTGTCGGCAAGCAGTGTTGGCTGATGTCAGAGCTCAGTATGTGTGTGTACTCCAGATATACCCCACAAAGGATCTATGTGCTAATTAGCCCCCACTCATTATTGGAACTGGGTGTCGTCACAAGTCCTGGGATGTCCCAGGAACTTATATGCAGATGGAGGTGTAGGGCAACCTGGTCTAGCTTCACCTCAAAGAGAACAGGACCATGCTAATCATGTGGCAGGCTGAGAGAAGGAGTGCTGAGTGAATTGTTTGGGGCCCTGTTTGGTGATGTTTGCCAGACATTTCAGGCTGGTGAAGAAACAGGAATCACTGGATATGGGAAAGAAAGGCGCAGTTCAGCTGTGGGAGTGAAGAGGAAGTGAAAATGCATTCAGTGTAGTGGCTCCCCATGACTTGAAAAAAAGAGTTGGTACTGAGGGGGGCTGCATATAATGGCACTACCATTTATCTTATTCAGATGGGCTGCACTAACCTATCCTTGTAGAAGATTCCCTTCACTGTTTGCTGACTTTGGGACACGTGTTTTATAGTCATGCTCAGTGTTGGCTGCGTATAATCAACTTCATTAGTTGGCTTCTATTATTGAGCATGGGATACTTTTGGCAGCAGTTTAATGATAAACAATGCATTTAATGAGGTTTCCTTGTATGCAATTATAACACACGTTTTTCCCCAATGCTAATTGGGCGGGGGGGGGGGGGAACCTCATATTTGAGTAAATATAGTATATCAAACTACGATCCCAAACCAAATGTTATTAAGAGCAGACAGACGCCACAAGTTCTTAAAAATGTGTCAAGGGAAGGCAGAAGTGTTTTGTGCTTATGGTGTTAAACCAGGGGTTTCCACAACCTTTTTTAACTGTACGCTTTTGGGTGGTGGTGCCTGGACACAGAGCATGTGGTGGTGGGTGGCAGTGTGGGGTGGTGGCGGTGGCCACCGTGTGCGAGCTCCAACCCCCTCTCCCCATGTCCGGCAAGCCAGGAGGTGCATGTGTAGCCCACGGAGGGG